TTGTGTGTTCTTTAAATTCAGTGAATTCTTTTATCATATTCATCATTGTTCTTTTGAGATCCATGTCCTGCATTGTCTCTAGAGGATTCTCATTGTGCTCCTCTAGAGGATTACTGGTATTTGGTGGGGATATGTTATTTTGGTTTTTCATGTTATTATTTTTTCTCTGTGATTTTGACATGTGAATTTCTTTTGTAGTTTCTGACTCTTGTGTGATACTCGGGCCTTCAAGTTTAGTTCTGCTTCTTTTATTTTTGAGCTTTATGTGTCTTTGTGGTTTACTTTTTGGGTATGAAGAGTTGGTTCGTCTAAGCTTCTGGTTCTCTCTTTTGATTTTATATTGTCGAGGCCGGATTGTTTTTGTCTTCAGGAGTTCCGCAGTGGCCCAACTCCAATGTGGATCAGAAGTTTTCAGACTTTCTCCTTAGGTCTGGAATCTTCTAAGAATGCTTTTGGCCTTAGGAACTTGGGTGACACTGACCTGAGACCCTCTCCGTGGCCGGGCCACGCAGGGATGCAAAGGCAGATGGGGAGGGAAGAAGCCCCAAGATTTCCCAGGGAGTGGATTGTGCAGCTGGGTTGTACTGGATGCAAAGGGTCAGGGAGAGTAAAGGTAAGCCTCGGAGCCCTAGAAAGAGGCTGTCAGCCCCAGAAAAAGGCTGGCGAGTGTTCCAGGACCAGGGAAGTAGAGGGAGATGAGGGCAGGGCCAGGACCAGAAGCGGTGCTCCTGGAGCCCAAGAAAGGGCCTGAGTTGCTTTGGGTGAGAAGGATCAGGAAACAGTATTGGTTCCCCAGGTGTCTGGGGACCCAAAACTAGGAATGGCGCAGGTCCCAAACTGGGAGTAGCAAACAGCGGGGGAGATGGAAGGGTGAATCTCTACACAAGGAAGTGGAAAGACTGGTTTGCAGGTCACTGGCCAGGAGAAGACAGACTCGTGGAGGAAGCAAAAAGAGTAACAGGGAAAATCCAGCTCCACATGCCACAGGGTAAGCCAAGGTTTTGCCTTGTAACCGCTCCCCAACACCTCTTCAAGCTCGAAAACACTCTATTATTTGTCATTTTATGTGTACGAGTGTTTTGCCTGCCGGTATGTAAGTGCACCCATGTTGTGCAATGCTCATCGGAGCCCCTGGAACTGGAATTTCAGAAGCTCATTAGCCACCATGTGGGTGCTGGGAATTGAACCTGAATCCTCTGCAAGAGCAGCCAGTGCCCTTAACCTGTTGATCCATGTCTCCAACTCCTATGTTTAACACTTAATGAACTGCCAGACTAGGATCTTTTGAGGATGGTGTTGCCATTTTTATTCCCACTGTCAATATATGAGAATGTTAGTTTCTCTATATCTTACCTTTTTGATTATATTCCTATTAGTGGGTGAAGTAGTATCTCATTGTAGTTTTAGTTTGCATTTCCCTAATTGCTGATATTTCATATTTAGATGGGTTTATTATATACTATTTTCTTTGGAGAACTGTCTCCATACCTTTTATCCTTTTGAAAATTGGGTTATTTGCTTTTTACTGAGTTGTGCCACCATGCCTGGCACAAGTTGTAATTTAAAAAAAAATTATCTTTAATTTTGTTATGTAGTTTTTTTTTGGGGGGGTTCTTTTTTTTTTTTGTCTTTTTGAGACAGAGTCTCCCTGTAGCCTCAGCTGCCCTGGAACTCACTATGTAGACCAGGTGGCCTTGAACTCACAGAGATCTACCTGCCACCTTGCCTGGCTTCTTTGTTTTTGAGACAGGGTCTCACTGGGTAACCGTGTCTGACCTGGAACTTACTGTGTAGGCCAGACTAGCCTCAAACTCACATAGAGTCACCAGCCTCTGCTTCCCAAATGCTGGGATTAAAGATGTGTGCCATTATACCTGGCCATCTTTAATTTTTTCTATGTGGTGTTGAAATTACTATTTCATTGTTATTTTTAGTATTAGGAAACTTAGCAAGAAAAAGAGAAATTTTTTATGAGAATGGCATGTTTTAATTTGTTTCAAACGCTGATATATTGTTTAAATTTCACTAGAATCCAAAACCAAACAATTTTCATTATATAATGTCTTTCAGCTTTATGTCTATTTAAGTAATTTTAGGAACTGGAAATGTAGCTTGGTTGGTAGAGTGCTTGCCTAGCGTACATGAAGCCTGGGTTCACAGGTAGCACATAAAACTGGGCATAGTAAATGGCTCATGTTTGTAATCCTTGTGCTCCAGAGATGGAGATAGAAAGATCAGACATTCAGAGTCCTTCTGTCTACATAGTGAGTTCAAGGCCAACTAAGGCTACATTAGACTGTCTCAAAAACAAACAATATTTTTTTTAAACAACAAAAATTAAATTTAAGGGAGCTGGAGAGATGGCTCAGTGATTAAGAGCACTGACTGCCCTTGCAGAGGACCTGGGTTTGATTCCCAGCACCCACATGGTGTCTAACAAACATCTGTAATTCCAGTTCCAGGGGATCTGATCTGATGGCCTTCTTCTGACTTCCATGGGCATCGCATGACATGGTGCACTTAAACACATGAAGGAAGTACACTTATATGCATAAAATAAAGAGTAATAACAGCCGGGCGTGGTAGCACACGCCTTTAATCCCAGCACTCGGGAGGCAGAGGCAGAGGCAGGCAGATCTCTGTGAGTTCAAGGCCAGCCTGGTCTACATAGTGAGTTTCTGGACAGGTGGGGCTACAGGGAGACCCCGTCTCAAAAAGACCAAAAAAAAAAAAAAAAAGAAAGAGTAATAAGTAAAATGTTAAGAAATTAGATTTAAATTTATTTTAAAATAGCAATTCTTAATATAGATATGTAGAAATTGGTGACATTTTAAATTTGGAACCTATTATATGAAAATGTGGAAAGTTAGGTTTAATTTATCCTGAAAATATGTATTTGGTTCTTTTAGGGTGCTGCAAGTAATGTCTTTTGCCAGTCACAAAATGATCCAGATGTATGCAGTTCAAGCCTTTGGCCTATTGAGAGAAGCACTAGGGAAATTAATCTGGGGGATAGATTAAATCCACCTCATACAGGTAAGACAGTGCTTTTTTACTTACCAAGTTTATACATAAATATGATATCATAGTGCTCTATAAATGAGTTTTCAAGAATGAATGTTATATTTGATAATTGTTGATATAATACCACTAGATTGTTGGCAATTCATATTGTTTGCTGTCATAATTTATCTTTATTAGTTGGATTTATAACCATGTAACTGAAAGGCTGTGGCTCAGTGATAAAGTCTTTTCCTTGCATGGCCACACTCTGCGTTTAAGCCTCAGCAGTGCCAAAACAGCAAGTGAACAGACAGACCCCAAAACCATGAAATATTGTATTTTTGTAATAAGTGCATGTTTAAGACTGTTCATAGGAAAATTGTTGATCAGATGTGGTTTCCAAGTTCAACAGTAATTGTGCTTTAAATTCTGTAATAAATATGTTGATGCTGGTAAATTGAAGAGAGGAACTTGAAATAAGTAATTCTTTTTTTTAATCAGTGAATTGCCACCTTCAATCCATCCTGTAGTGCCCTATGAAAGGGTCACAAAAAGACAGTTATGACCGTAGGAAAATATGATTCGTGATACAAAATCAAAAGTTATTTTCAATTTCCTTTGCTTTTATAATGGAAATAAGTAAATTGTTAAGTTATTGTAGTCTGTGGAAACTTCAAATTAGATTTGAATTGTTAATGTACATAATTGTATGAAAGTCAAGCATTTAACCTACATTCCATCTCCCTGTTGTTCAGTTCAGTTGAGGTAAAATAATGATTTTGTTTCTTTATGTGTCTGTTGAGATACAGATAACTTAAAAAATGTAAGTGAGGTGGCTCTAGATTTTATTTGGTCCTGTGAAAGACATACTTTTATTCAAGTTTGGTTTTAGATTTTGGGAGCCTGCTCCAACTCTTGGGCTACTGAGTTGTAACTGTGTAATCATTTGGCTCTTGTGATGATTAATGAATTCATTTCTTGTAGGGTAGTGAGTTCTGTATTTTTCTGGTTAACCTGTACCATTTATGAGCTTTTGTAACTTTTCAGAAGATGTAGTTACTGTCAGGATGACAGTGAGAATGACTTTGGCACACACAGCTCTGGGCTTGTAGGTTTAGCTGCTGTCGATTCTGATTTGTTCTCCTTTCATCCCTACTTCCCTCCCAACCTCTTCTTCCATCTCAGGCTTTCTGCTTTACTGTCAGGGCTGAAGCATCTAGATAGTCACGTGTGCCTGTTTCTTTTCTATCATGATAGCCAGTCTCTTCATCAGAGAATGATATTTTTACTTTGGAATATAACATAGTCTGTTACTGATTTTGGCTTTATTTGTGTTCTACACTAACTTGTCATTCTCTTCCTTGCTAAATATGAGAAGGGAGTTAAGAATTAAGATAAATTTAAGGATAAATCCCCTAATTTCTTCTCCAATTTAGTGCATTCATTGGACTGGGGAGCCTGTTCCAACCTTCTGATATTCTCCAGCCTCTTATTCAGAGAGGTTAAATTGGAGAATTGAGCTCTGTGAGAAATGTGGTGGATTGCTGACAGGAATGTACTATATGGAATAGCATGGAGATGGGAGATATTGAGTATCTTCAAATCACACCTTTGACATCCATTTAATTCTGTATCTAATCCATTTTGAAGTGAGGTGTAAGCCTATATATTTCAGTTAAAATGTGTCCCCATTTTCCCACATCATCTGTTTTCCTTTGAAAATTTCCCATAAAGAAATTGAGAAAATACTCTAATTACCACCCTGAATTCAACAATTCATAGTATTTTACCTCATTTGCAGTTCCCTCTTCCTCCTTTCTCCTCCCTGTTTGTGCTGGGGGTTGAATCTAGGCTTCATTCATGTTGGGCAGGTTCTTTACATTTAGTTTCATGAGCTCATTTAAGTTTGTGTTATTTTTCAACTGAAAGAACTCTTTTTTTGTTTTTGGTCTTTTTGAGACAGGGTCTCCCTGTAGCCCTAGCTGGTCTGGAACTCACTGTGTAGACCAGGCTGGTCTTGAACTCTCAGAGATCCACTGCCTCTGCCTCCTGAGTGCTGGGATTAAAGGCGTGTGCCACCACTCCCAGTCTGAAAGAACTGTTGATGAGTACATTTGACTCCATTTTATTTCACTGGGTGCTTAAGTCTCTATAGCACTCTATATTTGCAGATAATATTCTTTGGGAATAAAGGTGTGAGTTTACCTCTAATGACTTCTGAAGGCTCAGAGAATGTTCTTTCCTTGGACATTGTGGTAGAAGAGCCCACTTCTGTGTAGCCCTTTTTCTTGAGGAACAATCCAACTCAGCCGTTTTAGCCTGGGCTGGTGAAAAATCCTGGGAGAGGGGAAGTGTAGTCAGTTGAACTCTGCTCTCTAAAGAGATTTGAAGCCCTGAGCCCTGATGTCTGTGAATGTGATTTTCTTTTGAAATGGGTGTCTTTGCAGGTGTAATCATGTTAAGATCAAGTCATACTAGTTTATTGTGGACCCTGAGTTTCATGACTGGTATCTTTATACAAAAAGTGAGAAAGACAGAAACAAGGAAAAGGACCATGTGATAGTAGAAGTGGAGTTTGGAGGTTAATGTAACTGTAAGCCAGAGAACGCCCTGGATAAACACCAGAAGATAGAAAAGAGACAAGCAAAGATCCTCCTCCAGAGCTTTTAAGGGATCATGGCCTTGCTGGCACCTTGATTTTGGACATTGATCTTCAAAGAGAAGAAGTTCCCTTTGTAATAAGAGAATTTGTTGTAATAAGCTACCCAATTTGTGGTAATTTATTAGAGCTTTCCTGGAAATTTTTACAGAAAGCCTTAGAGCTCTTAGATATCCAGAACTATACTTTCTATATACAAAAAGAGAAATATTGGGGTTGGAGCGATATGTCAGTGGTTCAGAGTGCTAATTGCTCTTGCAGAGGACTTGAATTCTGTTCCCAGCACCCATGTTTTGGCTACTCAAGCACCTGCAGTCACGTCCATATATGCACATACAAACACACACTCATAGTTAAACATAAAAATCTTTTAAAAAGAGAGAAAAAGAAATATATTTAATCTTTTTGAAGTTTTTGGGTTCTGATGAGCTCTAAGATGAGTCAAAATGTTTTATTTTTTTATTTCTTTTTGTTGTATCACTAAAATACTTTTTTATTTATTTGCATATTTGTGTGTATGTGTGTGGGTGTGTGTGGAGGTGAGGACAACTTGTTGGAGTTATTCTCTCCTTCTACCATGTGAGTTCTGGGGACTTGAACTCAGGTGGTTGAGCCTGGTGGCAAGCGCCTTTACTTCTGATACAAACTTGCTGGCCCTGTGTCAAATTTATGTACTTACTGCTTCACTAAAGGATGACATAGAAAGGTGGAAACTTTCTCTTGTTGAGGGCTAAAATCAAATTTTATGGCTAAATGAAGGGATCTTGAAAACACATATAGTTTTCTGTACTTGACTACCATGGCTAAGTCTTTGACTTTTAAGTACTTCAGAGAAGTCAAGTAGGCAAGACAGAGCTACTTGGACAGTGCAGTTTGTATGTTTTGGTACTGTTTGAGAAATAGTTTCAAAAGTCTTTGGGTAAGAATTCTAAGGGATCTGTGATGAGTATGATTGGATAAATAGAGACAGGTAAAATGTATAAGTAAATAAAGACATTTGGTGGTACAGAGCAGGAGTATTTTGAGGCATGGTAGAAGACTAGAAAGTTATTTGAGACAGGGCCTCCCTGTAGTCCCAGCTGGCCTTGAACTCGCTACGTAGACCGGGCTGGCCTCGAACTCACTGAGATCCACCTGCCTCTGCCTCCCCAGTGCTGGGACTAAAGGTGTGCACCACCGTGCCCCACAGCATGATGTTTTGATACATGTATACAAAGTGTGTCTTAATTACCTTTCTATTGCTTTTATAAAACACTGTGACCAAGGGAACATATAGAAGGAAGAGTTTATTTGGCTATGGTTCCAAAGTGGTAGTCCATAATGTCCGGGGAGGCATGGCTGGAAAAGTTGCCGGAACAGAAAGCCAAGCGATCACATCTTTAAGCAGGCACAGGAAGCAGAGAGGGCCTGGAAATCTGGTAAGGCTTAAGAACTCTCAAAGCCCACCCCCCCAGTGATGTGCTTTCTCCAGCATGGCCACACTTCCTAAAGCCTCCCAAACCAGTGCCACCAACAAAATGTCCAAATACTTGGAGCCTATGGGGGGCATTTGCATTCACACCACCACAAAATGTAATGATAAAGTCAACATAGTTAACATTTTCATTTCTTTAAATATTAAAAAATTAATTTATGGGCTGGAGAGATGGCTCAGCAGTTAAGAGCACTGGCTGCTCTTATAGAGGACCTGGGTTCAATTCCCAGCACCCACATGGTGGCTGAATCTCCAATTCCAGGGGATCCAATACCCTCTTTTGACCTCTGAGGGCATGACACAGGTATACTTACATACATTCAGGCAATATCCCGGCACAAGCCTACATTCTTAATCATATGTTTTGAACTGCAGTCACCCACTTGTGCATAGTCTTCATTGTCAACTTGACTGATTTAGAATTACCTAAGAGACACACTTTGTGTGTGTGTATACACACACACATGCTTGTCACTGTACGTATGTGGAGGTCAGCGAATAACTTTTGAGGTACTTTGCTCCTTCTACCATGTGGATCCTGAGCCGATCCTGAGCCACTCAGGCTGTCAGGCTTGGTGATAGGCCTCTTTACTTACTATCATCTCACCAGCTTCTCTCCTGTTTCTTGAAAGCAGCCAAGAGCTCTAGGTTGATTTTAGTGGAGAATGGTATTTAAAAACCGAGGTCTTGGTAGTAGGTATACTTGTTGATGTTGCAGCATTATTGCTTTCAGCCCTTTCAGGAGAAAAGCTAGGAAATATATTTCTGAAGACATTTGGGGTGTGTGTGATGGGTAGAGACAGGGTTTCACATGGCCCAGACTGACTTATGGCTCTGACTGAACTCCCGATTGTCCTGCCTGTACTTTCTAAGTACTGGGATTGCAGGTGTGTGCTACCA